CAGAGGAAGGGGGGGGGGGGGGGTTGCGCTGAGGTCTTTTCGCCTGGGCCAATTCTCCATTTTATAATGATATTGCAATCAACCTGAACAACAATGAATACAAATTTAATACATAATGCATGAAGAAAAGAGTTTTGCCAGTAAATCGTTAAAAAAAATTCTACTTGTAGCGGTTGTTTCTGAATAATGTCAGTTTTCAGTTTTCGGCACTCTTCAACACCAAAGTGACAACGCAGCACAATTTAATCGTTTTTTCATGCAGTTATAGTTCGTCTAGCTGAGAGCAAGGTGCTACTCACTCGTCACTTTTTCATTTGCGATTGAATATGACAAAATTACCTCTCCCCCCCCCCCACCAACAGGCTCAATCATGCACCAAAAAAAAAAAAAAATTATAAAAATGGGCTCTATATCACCTGATAGCTGGTTTGTTAAGAGGGTGATCTACTTGAAACGCGTCATCACAATTTATAATCACATCACATCACATCCATAATTAGCATTATTTTCCAAATTATTATAGTATAAAAGAAAAACACAGGGAAAATACCATTACGGCTTGTCGGGGGGGGGGGGGGGGAGGTGCTGCGCTCTATTACGACGGGCAAATTATCGTCTACTAGATTTCAAACGCCTTGAACAAAATATAGAAGAAGAAGAAGGAGGAAATGAACAAGAAGAACAAAAGTAGGAGCAGGAGGAGAAGAAGAAGAAGAAACAAAATGAGAAAAAGAAAATGAGGGCATAATGGGTCCCGATAATGACCTTCGATGGTGACGACAATATGACGTCATAAAGTAACAACCCAGCACGATTCGAGCGTTTTTTAATTCTGTGATCATGTTGTTGGTTCTCCTGACATAAGTCATGTTAATCCCGCCATGTTTCTAATTCCCGTTGAATTTGTCAAAATTATCTAAACGCCCCCCCCCCCCCAACTTCCTTATAAACGCCAGACTCCGTGTACGCACTAAAAAAAAAGTGAATAATCAAAATGGGCTCGTCTATAATTATCATACGCCCAGTATACAACTACTGTCTTCAAAGTTTGTTTGTAGGAGATGGATCTAAACTTTAAAAAATGGAAGTTTGTCTTATAATCCTGTTTTATAATGTTGTAAATGTTGTAGGTTTCAAAGTAGCAAATATTCTGCTACTATGTAGATGATAACTTGTTTATTATATATAGTTCATGTCGAATTTAGTTCGTGAGGTTTTGATCTGCGTTTTACTGATTTTTGTAATGTTTTTATAATAACTTGTAAATATTGTGATTTAAAAAAAATATATTATTGTTCAATAAAACACATAAAGAAAAAAAAACTGGGAATACGCGAGCCTTGGAACACGTCAGCACATGATAGAAAAATTTTAAAAAAAACAATCCATGATCAACAGTATTTGCCCAAAACAGGAAAGAAACCCCTAACAAAGGTACCGCAATTCAAGTTTGTTATTTCGTAAAGCTTGTTTTCTCCCCTTTTCATTGATGTTTTATCGTGGAATTACATCTAAATATGTTGTATAAAGTTAGTCATACGCAACATGTTGCAAAATTCATCGATATTGTCAACAGAATATCCTCCTTTTGTTGGGAGAATAAAAAGTGTTCTGAACGATATTCAGTCTGTCATGCATTATTGCCAATGGCGTAATCATCTCATTTGGAAGGTGACATGCGGGATGACAGTGGCGGAGCGTGGTCGGACTGATTGAGGGGGCACGCCAAATTATGTATTTCTTTGTTGTTTCGAAAAATATATCCTGATGGTTTCTTTTGGTTTTTCGAAATTATCCCCTCCCCCTCCCCCACACTACGCCGTTGCGGGATGACATGTGTCCTGCAGATTTTGAGGTGTTGCAATAAACTTTTTGTATGTGGTTATAGGAATATATATTATTGTTTTATTAACTCATTGAGGAATTATAATTACATTTGATCCTTACACAGATTATTGCAAATAGTTTTACAATTCAAATTTTAGCTTTCACATCTCTCCTATAATATACGACTTTATACTGTAATTGAAGTGGATATTGTGTGAAATTTCTTTGTTTATCCTTTCAATGTAGTTTCCCTTTTCCTTTTTATAAAATGGAGCAATGGTTAATTTTCAGAGCGTTATGTTTTTAGTACACACAGAATTTGATATTTTGAATCTCAAATATCATAATAATATACACCATAAGCGTACCATTACGGATTATCCAGAGGAAGGGGGGGGGAGGGGGGGGGGATGTGCTGAGGTCTTTTTGCCTGGGCCAATTCTCCTTTTTATAATGATATTGCAATCAACCTGAAAAACAATGAATACAAATTTAATACATAATGCATGAGTTGGTGCTGCGGTCTTTTGCCTCATTACGGGCAAACTATTATCTACTGGATTTCAATCGCCTTTGAACAAAAGTATTGTTATAAAGAAGACGAAGAAATAGAAGAAGAAGAAGAAGAAGAAGAAGAAGAAGAAGAAAAAGAAGAGAAGTAAAAGGAGAAAAGGAAGAAGAAGAAGAAGAAGAAGAAGAAGAAGAGACGGAACTGACAAAAGTAGCCAGAGGAGGTGAAGAAGAAGACGAAGAAGAAGATGAAGAAGATGTATAGGCCTTTTAGAAGAAAGTGAAGAAGAAGCAAAACAAGGAAGAAGAAGAAGAAGAAGAAGAAGAAGAAGAAGAAGTAGAAGAATTGAAGAAGAAGAAAGTACAAGAGTAGGAGCTAGAGGAGGAGAAGGAAAACAAGAAAAACACCGATAAAGACCCTCGATGATATAACTCGATGGTGACGATAATATAGACAACATAGTTTTATGATGCACCTTCCCTCGCCTCCCCCTCCCTCTCCCCCTCCCCCCCCCCCCCCCCCCCCCCCCCCCCCTCCCCCTCCCCCTCCCCCTCCCCACCCCCCCCCCCTCCCCCCCCCTCCCCCCCCCCCCCCCCCCCCCCCCCCCCCCTCCCCCTCCCCCTTCCTATATATTCAGTGCGGCGCGACCGATCGGCATGACGGTTGGGCCAAGGAAGAAAACGCGCGAAATTATAGGTGCACAATATAATTGACAAAATACAAGGGGGGTTACTCAACAGGTACACGGGCACGTTGACGGGCTAGAATAGCCAGACACACTCATTTGGGTGCGAGATCATCGTACACAATGTGTCGTGTGTATTTCGTAATGGACAATTTGTAATGTATTTAGCGACAAATACGATGATCTAGAAATTTACGAGAAATTGCGCCGAAATTGAAGATCGCAGAACGTTTACATGAATTTTGTTCATCATGTTTGGTCTTTCCATACCTCTTTGTTGGCCTAGTTAGCCCCTTGCTGTGATTTGATTTTGACGGGGATCGACCTGGGAAAGTGGTATCACTAGTCATGCTAGTGGAATCCTATCCTTCCGATTTTCAATGCTAAATTATGATTTTTTTTTTTGGCACGGACAAAAAATACACGGAACACAGGTAAGTCCCTTTTCGTCAAATGCTAAGCCTAGTACTGCTGGTTTAATATTGTAAAGTTGTAGAATTTAGTGAACGAACTGACACGGCTCAGATCTCAACTGTGGTGGTGAATGCAGACAGCCCATGCGAGGGCCGGGCAATCCTTCCATACATGTACAGCTGAGCCCGACGCAACTCGGTTGATCACTGGCAGCTACCGCAGTCACTTTGCTAATATACAAACCCAATGTTTATTTCAACTTGTAATCGATTCTCAAATCTCGCCATTGCAAGCAGACGACAGACATTAGCGCATGCGCAGTATAGTTACTCCTGATAGATGGCGCTGTTTGAATTTTAAAATTGTTCATCGAACGGCAAGCGACTGAACCGTTCATTCGGCCATTTCAACATTGAGCATTTGGGCATATATTTCTGCTTTTTTGAGAATTTAGGTTGAAGTATTGCCATCTAAACCTCTGAAGACAATATTCAAACAATATTGAATGGATATTTCCCACCCAAAACCCTTGAACTGCAATTTTACCATTACTGGTCTTTACCTTTAAGCTATGGTCACAAATCTGAGCAGCAACCGACCGATCAGTAGCCTGCTCGGTCACTGCTGGAATTTAGGCATCGCCCAGCAATTAGGTCGGTGCCCGGGCGGCGACCGCCCAGGCACCTAGCGTATTTTGGGCGGCGAGTGAAAAGTGAGCAAGCGCCACCCAAATTTTAAGTCCGCGCTAAAACTTCAGCGGCGACCGAGCGATGCCCTAATAACGAGCGGTGCCTGGGCGGCCGCCGGGCAGAATTGGTTAAAAACTCGCCGCTCGGCGGCCGAGCAGGCTACTTTTGGGTAATGTGACTGGTTTGCTGAGAACAAAAAGACGACTCTCTGCACGAAATTGTATTATGGCGTTGATTTGTACTTTAATCAAATGACCAACGATGTGAGTCAAATGTCGTCGAACAACGCAGTTCAGATGTTGAAGAATGTATAATTCAATCTGCATAAAAAGAACTGCGTTGTTCGACGACATTTGACTCACATCGTTGGTCATTTGATTAAAGTACAAATCAACGCCATAATACAATTTCGTGCAGAGAGTCGTCTTTTTGTTCTCAGCAAACCATACTATTCAATTTCTTGGGCAGGAACTATAAACTTTCTTAAACATAATGAGAGTCGGCCAAACTTCTAGCTTGACGAAATCTGCACATACGGTTGAAATTTCAAGCCTTCGGTCGAAACTTGTGCCTCGGGTTTTCTGACATGTTTCGAAGCTAAAATTATCCACCTATAAACGGCCGTAAACCGAAAAACCTATGGTATCTTTCAATGAACAAGAAAAAAAGTAAATATCAGCAAATCCACAAGAAATAAGTTTCGATCATCGAAACATCCTCCCGCCCCACCGGATGAGGAGTCTTTCTGAAAGCTTGAAATTTCTCAAAACAAATACACTGTATATCATATGATTACATACATGTGAATCATTACATATATTATATCAACAGTATCAGTTCAAATGAGAACTCATTCTCTATTGTTCAGTTCGATCTAGTCAATATAACCTTCTGCTGGGTAAATTACTGCTAGTTTTGTAATCGGTCTCCGATACTCTCCGGAAACAGTTTTTAGCTTCACATTCCGAACTTTACCATCAGGTCCTGGATAAACCTGAATGATCCTAGCTATAGTCCACTTTCCACGTACTGCATTACTATCTGCAGTCATTACAACATCTCCTACACGAACGTTCCTACGATCTGCGTTCCAATTTCTCCAAAACTTACGTCTAGTCTTGGCGGTCGTTGTCTCAATTCCCGGATGTCCAATCTCATGAACATGACGTGTGATTAGAAGAGCTATATGATGGCTAGCTGGCAGCAGAGCTGGGTGTTTAGATTCGTAGGATGTCACTAAGTTTTCCACTCTACCCCCTACTCTGATTATTCCTTTGTTGTCAAGGAAAGGAGTGAGAGTTTTGAATTCTCCTTTCTCAAATCTGCTCTTCAGACCTTTCTGAGCCTCCTTCGTCCAGTAGTGCTCAGCCTTCGCTAATTCTCCAGGAGGTAAAGTTACATCATCTTCCGGTATGGATGCTTTCATGAGCTTTGACTTGAGAATCTGCACATATCTGAAAACGTAGGCAGTCACTCTTACTAACTTTCGCCATTTTGAAAAGCGTTCACATTCGATGGGGTTGACTGTCATGTTGATGACTAAGGCTGTCTGAGTCTTTCGTCTTTCTAGATTCTCAAGATTCTGATCGATTATAGCTTTGTCCACTGGCCACTCTGGTTCATTGAGGTGGAGAAAGTTAGGACCGCACATCCATTCATCCATTAGTTCCTTCACTGCGATTCCTCTCGAAACTTTGTCTGCTGGATTATCTTCACCAGGAATGTGTTTCCAACTTGATGGGTCAGTGAGAGTCTGAATCTCCCCAACTCTACTTGATACGAAAGGCTTATATACCCTGGCTGAAGACTTGATCCACTGCAGAGTAATCATGCTGTCAGTGAAGAACACTACTTTCTCGACCTCTAGTCTCATCTCCTCGGTGATTGACTTGTAAAGTCTGGCAGCTAACACGGCAGCTTGTAATTCCAATCTCGGTATTGTCAATGCCTTTAACGGTGCTACCTTTGACTTTGATGCAATGAAGCGAGTCTCATACCTGTCATCTCTGGTTTGCCATCTCAGGTATGCACAAGCACCATATGCATTTTCGGAAGCATCAGAGAAAATGCACAACACTGGCTTGCCTTGAGCATCAGGAGGAGTAAGGCATCTTTCTAGTGATACTCCATTCAATCCTTTCATTTCCTCAAACAGAAGCCTCCATTCAGCATCTTCTTCTGGTGAAAGATGATCGTCCCAGTTGTAGCCTCTCTGCCACAATTTCTGCATACCTATCTTTGCTCTAACAATCACTGGTGCAGCAAATCCTATGGGGTCAAATATGTGGGCAATCTGACCAAGGATCTTTCTCTAAGTCAATTTTTCTTGACTCTCTCCATCTGTTGCTGATCTCATTACACTGTCTTTCAGCTTTACTTTGTAAGAGAAGGTGTCATTTTCTCTGTCCCAAACTACTCCAAGGATCTTCTCTTCAGCTATCTCATCCAACAATTTCATCTTTCCCTGGGTGAGGTCTCCGACATCTGATTCATTAGAAATCAACCCTTTGACCTTGAAGCCACCTTCATTCAACACTTCATCCATCTCGGCGCTGAGTTTCCTGGCTTCATCTACAGTCCTTACAGAGTCGCAAATATCATCCATGTACACATTCCTCTTTAAAACAGAAGCTGCCTGAGGATGTGTACTCTCTCCTTGCTCTGCTGTAAGCTTAAGGGCAGTCTGGGCTATCGCAGGTGCAGGTTTGTCACCGAACGTGACAACTTTCATCATATAGATGTCAGGTTCTCTGTGCTCATCCATGTCCCTCCATAGGAACCTGTGAACATGTTGGTCACTCTCTGGGATTGATACTCGATGATACATCTTATATATCCCCGCATAAGGCCACTTTGTTTTCCCTGAATCTCAGAAGTACTCCAATCAGATTGTTCAGGAGATCAGGGCCTTTCATCCAGTACTCGTTTAATCGATGACCTTGGAATGATGCTGATGAATTGAAGACTATTCGGAGAGGGGTGCTCTTCTTTTCTGGCCTCACAACCGCATGGTGTGATATGTAATGAACTGGCCCTTCATAATTCTTGATATCTGCTGCTGTTAGTTTCTTAGCAAATCCCATTTCTTCCAGTTCATGAATTTGCTTGTTATAGGCCTCTGCATGCCCTGGATTTCTAGCAAGTCTCTTCTCAGTAGACTCCAGTATTTTCACTGCTTGACTTTTGTTATCTGGGAGTTCATGAGGATCCCGTTGCCATGGATAGGCTATCTCCCATTTCTTTCCTTTATTCTGCGAAGAAGCTCTGATGATTTCTTCCTCTATCTGTTCTTGCTTGGTTAGCTTGGTAGTCTCTTGGCACTGACAACCTACCCCTTGTGATTCCAGTCGCCAAAATTCTGACAGATCGGGGTTCTGGACTGCGACATGTAGCACATTCACACAAATGGTTCTCTTATCTGTGCCGCCGAAGATTACCCATCCTAACGGAGTCTTTCTTGCGATACAGTTTTTTCTCTTCTTCAGTTTTCCGCCTACAATGTATCTTGGATAGTCAACGCCTATCAGAACTTCTACAGGTCCACTATCTCGATTCAGGTTGGGAATATCGAACTGATCTGCTAGGTCTTTCACACTTACAGCTTCTTCCTCCGTGATTGAAGGTACACCTACAACTTTGATGAACTGATGTTTCTTGGATGTATTCGCTTCCCGAATCGGCAACTTGTATTTGAATGTCTCCAACTCTTCCTCAACTTCACCAAGTTTTTTAATGGTGATTCTAGTTCTGGTACCAGTCAAGTGGAGTTTCTCTGCTAGTGAGTTCTTGATCAAACTAACTTGTGAGCCGCTATCTAGCAGAACATTTGCTCTTGTCTGTAAATCACTGGCAATGTCTATGGTTAGGATTGGCAGAAGTGAAGCTCCGACAGTAGTTGCAACGTTAACGTTGTTTTTACTGCTCTCATTCTCTGATTGGTGACCCACTTCCATATGAAGCAAAGGATGATGGTAGTAAGTACACCCTTGCTCTGGACACCTCTGCCTTCTTCTGCAGTTTGCCATGAAGTGATTTTTCCCTGCTTTTTTCAAACAGCTAAAGCAGCATCTGTTTTCTTTGAAGAACTTAAGTCTCTCTGGGGCACCCATAGATGTCAGGCGCTTACACTGATCGATCCAGTGTTCATCCGTCTTGCAATACCAGCATCGATGTTGTCTTTGAATTCGGTCCGGTGGCTGATCTTCATGACGTCTATCACTGTAGGCTGGTTTATTCTTCTCTTTCATTGACATTTGGTTGACGTTTGCTGAACGGCCTTCGCTTTGGGATCTCAATGGCGCTGAAGATCTAATTCGTGCCTTCATTTCTAGGTTTAACCATGTCAACAAAGTTTGAAGACCTGCAGTTTGCTTCTCTGTTTCTTGGTATCTAAACCAATTCTTTCTGTCATTAGGGCACATCTTTCTTTCTATGGTGGCTAGCATATGACTGTTGTCCATATCGCTCTTCTTCCCCACAAGCTTGAGGATGTTGTAGCTTCTTCTTACAAGATTAACCAATTCACAAAATCTATTATCCTCGTTTTCCTTCAAGGGTCTGAATTTGGTTAAGTCATTGATGATAGTATCTGCTACGATTCTGGGGTCGCCAAACATAGAGTCCAAGAGCTCCCATGCCGCGTCATAATCACTTCCTATCCCTTGGATAATATCATGTGCACGGCCCACTAGACAGCTTCTCAAGATTGTCATGGCATCACGTTTTCCATACTGCGAATCAACCATGTGAAGTAAGTTTGCTTTAATATTAGGTTTAATGACTTTATGAACAAGAAAAAAAGTAAATATCAGCAAATCCACAAGAAATAAGTTTCGATCATCGAAACAGTGACCATAGCATAACTTGTATTTATTCTTCAATCATAATAATTGGAACGGCAAATTACCAATAACTGGGATCAGATTCCCAAATCCCTGCGTTGCCCCTCCCCCTTTTTTGCTTTATCTCGCTCCCCCCCCCTCTCTCTTTTTCTCTTTCTATATTGCTCTCTTTCTGTGTCGCTGTTAAGCTCCCCAATCTACAGTACTCTCCCAGATAGCTAGCTCGGGCCAAAGATATGATTTGCATTACAAATGTTTTTTTCCGACTGACTAAGCAGTAAATATGTATTGAAATATATGCTGCATGGCTATGACGATGACTTTGCAAAGAATTTCATTTGAAAAGTTTCGTTTTGGGGTGCGTCAAGAGATAATACACACACTTACACATACACACTCTACACCACGTACCTTTCTGTACTGGGGCGAATATGCATTGCGTGTTTCGACACATAGTGCAAATAGCGGGTTTGTCATTATATGAACACTATCCCTCCTCTTTCTGATCGTGCGCAATACAAGTACTTCAACCTCATTGTCTTTCTTCATCATACGTTCAAGAACTAACCTTTCAAGTAAGTTATTATCTGTTACTTTGACTGAAATTTGAACAAGATACACGTGAACCTTGGTAGCTGGGATACATTCAGTTAACATGGTCAACACTGCTGATGAGGGGAAAGATTGAAGGCCCCGTTTCACCATGTTTTTTTTTGACATAGCAGATAATTAAGCAAACAGTTAGCTTCCACGTTAAAATTCTCATGATAATATTAAAAATAGCGATGACTCTTTTACAAATAATTCTAAGTGTAAATTATAATTTTCTTTATTTCGGATTTGAAATATATGTTTTCGCTATCAAAGATGCTCAGTAGATTACAGTAGATGATTCGATTTAAAATGTTAAAAAGATAATGAGGTCAATCTATGTATAGCAAAGAAGAAACTAAAGATTCAATAATAATCAAACTTGGTAATGTAAATATTTAGAGAGTTTCTTCAGCAAATATTTTCGGTTTTATTATTGATGATGACCTCTCTTGGTCAAATCATATTGTTGACATCCGCAACAAATTGTCTAAAAGTATTGGTATCATGTTCAGATTGAATTCTCTCCCTAAAAGTATTCTCAAAATGATATACTATGCAATTTTGTACCCTTACTTTATGCTATTATTGTCTGGGGGCAATGCTGCTTTAATTCATCAAGATAGATTGTTTAAATTACAAAAAGGTGCAATAAGAATTATTAATCATTCTTCTTTTCTTGCCCATACCAATCCAATATTCTACTTATTAAACATGTTGCATTATAGGGATGTATATTTATTACAAGCAGGTGTTTTTTTTAATGTCTTTACAATCTTCTTTCTGATTTCATTTCCAAATTGTTTATATTAAACTGTAATATTAAGTTATAATGCTCAAAATTTTCATTTTCTATTGACTCGTACAGTACTAAACCAAAACACAATAATTTTTCCGAAGGACCGTTTATGTGGAACACTCTACCTCATTACATACATAATTATGCTAGTGTAAATGTATTTATACGTAGGTATAATATATTTCTTTTGGTTGAATTGATCATTTGAATTCTAGACATATTTTATTTGTCTGTATGTTTGTTGTCTTGATTTTTGTATTGTATAATTTTTAGTAACGAATATGTTTTATATTTGTTATTATAAAAAAGGTTCAACCTTTATAATAGGATTATGTTTCCTTTCAGGTTGCAACCTATTCAGTTTATTTTATGTCCTTGTCTAATATGTTCTTTATGTGTATTTTATGATATATAGCTGATTGTTATAATGTAATGTAGTCTTTTTTAACTGAATAAAATTAAATTGAATTGAAATTGAATCGAATAACTGGAAATACATTATAGATTATAAAAGTCCGTTTAAACCTACCTATACGGAATGAATGTGATGTTACTTAAGATACCTTGATTACTATTTGCAGTCAGCAATGTACTATTTATAACGCACACATGCTTATTGGAAGTTACACAGACAGTTATATCCTAACTGTATTGATCCTTGCATGGTCCGCCTGTATAATATGTGCACAGCTAGCAATACATCAGAGGTCCATGCTGTTGTGACCATTATTATTTGTATTACTTATAATAGTAATCATGGCATTACGATGGCATTCCATCGCGAGTGCCTTAATTGCACCCTCCTCAAAACCATACATTCCCCTTACCCCCTGAACCGTTAACGTTACACCATGGAGATCTCTATGGTGACACTACAACCCCAAGCATGTGCTACGGCTGCGCGTATAGCTGTGTACGGCGCCACACTGCTCTTTAAGACCACCACACATGGACCAGCGCGCTAGACGCAGATAGCTGTACTTTCCGTTGTGGTCATGTCTTTTAAAACGACAATGACTCTGATTTGTTTGCTTGCCCATGAAAGAGAAAATGTATACTCCGCTTCCCATTTGTATCGGAATAATCAACGGCAACAATTTTTCTTTGTGTTGCATGCACAGACACGCCCACACACATACACACAACACGCGCACAACTATCCAGATGCTCCTTTGTAACTCTGTCTTACTTTGTCTTTGTCTGACATAATGCATTTGAAAATATTCAGCGTCTGCCATAGCTCCAGAACAATTTTGGATGGCTACTCCGGACTTATATCCCGCACAAGAAACATCTACGACAACCATAAACCCGTAACCCCCCCCCCCCCCCCACCACCAAATAAAGCTTTTGTTACTGCACCTCTACAAAGGGCCGTTTTCCCGGTGGTAGTTGTCTGGAGGGGATTACAGAATATAGAGCTGTGCAAATTTACATTAAAGCACCATGCATACAATTGACTTCAAAAGATGAGATATTATATAATCTTAAATGAATACATATTCCATACATGGCATGTTAAGATAAATCCGTACAAAGATTTGACACTATTTCTTATACAAAGTCATGTTGCCCGTCTCATGTACTAACTCTGCATTAATCTTTCTCTCTCTTGAATAACATAGTACCCTGATGCCACCATGCCTGTGTCTCTTGGTGAATGGCGTGTCAGGATTGGCACGTTCATGCGACGTCGGAGGAAAGAATACGACTACCACTACTTTTGGAGGAAACTTCACAACTTAATGAAAAAAGCCAAGAATGCTGAGCCACCCAAAGAAAACAACAACCCTGAGTGTAACATTTCATCTCGCACTGGCTCTTCTCCCGATGCGAATAGATCTCCAAGTTACAAGGCCCGTCAGTCTGCATCTTCTGCTCAAACAGGGCCTTCACGTGACGTCAACAATGGCAACGGTAACGCAAGCTCACCGACTCTCTCACAATCTGACGGCCCAAAGTATGATACTGTCAGGGAGAGTGGATTCCCATGCGATGTAAACAACCCCGGTCATAACGATGTCTCTCACTCTGAGTCTTCATGTGCTCAAAACAGTGGTTCTTCAATTGAAAAAGAGACCAACCCTGTCCCTTGTACCACTGACGTGACAATTCCAGTTCCCCAACCCTGTTTAGAAGACAAGGAGGAAACTTCAGACTCTGCACCGTCGGGGAAAGAGGACCAATCATCGGACATATCACCTAAACACAGGCTAGATACCACGAATAATACCGACCAAAGAACATCATCTATCACGGTATGATTAATATGCATTTCCTAGAACCACGCCACTCACATAAAAACAACAAAGAAAGAAAAAAAAACAGTGAGAAAAACATGCAAACAATAAATCGGAATAAAAACTGAATAAAAAAATTCTTTTTGTAAACGGGGTTTAAACCAGAACATGTAACTAAGAAAATTGGAGCTAAATAAGACGTATTATAAAGGACAGCTTATTTAAATCTGCTGTACAAAGTGTAGGTATGACGTTTATGACAACCGTAAATAGTGGTTAAATTTCCCTTAACCCTTGCACAGAATTCTTATACGCCCGTGATTCTCCTTTTTTTCTTCAAATAATGTCTGATTATTCTTTTGAAAATCGTCTTTTGTCCATAAGTAACAGAATATCATGAATTGTCCGCCCACCTTGTCCAATGGCTACATTTACACCCTTATATGATCTGCCTGCGCTAATTATTTTTGTATTATGAATTTAAGAATAAACTAGAAACCATTGATATAAAGATCCCCACCAGAAATACATTGTGGCACAATAATGTTATCTCAGTATGACATGTAGATAGTTTTCAGAGTTAAAATTGTGTCATCTATTCGGAATTTTCTCTTCATCCTTAGGAAGTAACGGAGTATCATGAATCCCCGATCTATCCGGTCCTCGGATCAGGGACAACCAGTGGTAAAGCAGATGAAATGAAAGGGAATGACTGTCCAGACATGAGCAACATACTTCTATTGAGATCCGGGGATGTAGAACAAAACCCTGGCCCAAGTGATAAGTAAGCACCATGAAAGAGCGACTTTGGTCCTTATTCTGTTAATTGAGGTACGCCCAACCCTTGGTAGGAGATCACGTTTAAAGATAAACTTCATTAAACTTCAGACTAATTTCCATTCTAAACTCGATTATAAACTGAAGCCTTAACCCACCGCGAGGTCTAAATTTTGGCAGAATACGAGCCAACGAGTTTGTTGGTAAAAAATATTATTCGGAATATACAAAATTAATCAATGAAAGCCAATGGTGACAGTAGAAGTTTCGCGTATTTCTGTTATGTTAACAGGTCCTTATTTTGCAATGTTTCTGGAGTGCTTGCATTCTAGCAAAAGTTTTAATACATTGCAAACAAGGGTATTCACTCGAGATAAGAATCAAAGGAAAGTCCTATGATAATAAAACCTCACAAAAATTAATATAAGCTGTATATTATTTTTTCTTCTTTTTTCTAATGATTTAGACCTGGGAACCTGACCGACCTCGAACTATAT